ACAGATTAAAAAAATTCATAATCCATCAGAGACAAAAGATACATTCAGCAAGAGTTGGTAAATATTTTAGACCTGTGGTCCACAGGTCATCTCCTCTTTCACATACTGTTTGCTTATTAAGTAGCTTTAAAAACATAAAAAACATTCTTAGCTCATGGAACTCATTTTTAAATAGCCATGGGCCATGGTTTGTTAACCCCTGACACAGAGGGGCTGCTAGAATAAGAACTGTCACTGAACCATACTTCACAGAGCCCCGGTTGTAGTGGGAAGGGGGTGAGGCAGGAACAGCAAGCTGGGGATATGGGACCCACCTCAGTCCCCAGCTTAGTTTTCTTCCAATGTTTCCACCCTGGTGGCATTCTCTGCCATCTTGGAGGCCCATATTCAAAAGGAGAGGGAGATTTGTCAGTTCCTGCTTGGTGGTGGTTTCCTGGGGACAAAAATTGACCCCTTTAAATCATTGGAAAAAAAAAAGATACTATCAATCTAAAACTCAATATCCAGTAGAATGTCATTCAGAAATAAAGGTGAAAGAAAACTCTCTTTGCTACTATCCCCATTCCTCTCTTCTGTTCAGATATTCCATGAAAACCCCACATTTGGATACTCAATATCTTAGGGCTGCACAGGGCCCTCACTGGACACACATCATTAGGGGTCCCTCATGTATTCTCTTCATCTTCAAAATTACTCTAACATCCCATTCTGTCAGGAACTTGCTTTTTGTTCTTCCATTCAACCTATGCTAAAGCTTTAATGAGATTTCCTGGCCACAATTAATTGAATGCAGCCTAATATCCAGGAAAGTAGTAATTTTATTGCTTGCATATTGAATTTTTCCCAATGACCATTTGTTGATGTTATGATAAAAATAATAAATCCATGATTAGGCTGATCTCAAGTATATAAAAACATATTAGGGAATCTCTTATCTCCACAGTGAAGCAAGCAGTCTTTTGACTTACTGTGTGACTAAGAAACAGTAGTCAAATTTTCAAATCAGGCAGTTCAAGCTATAGTTCAAGCTCTAGTGAAGCATAATCTCTATGTGACTAATGTGACCTTCGCAGATAAATATTCCATGTAAACGCCTGATGCTCAAGTAGTATTTTTCGAAGTTGATATTACCACAGTGGATATTTAAATTTATGTCTGATAAATAGGTCTATTTAAAGCATCCTTAACGGGTAGCCGACTTTGTTTTTTTAGCTGTGAATACTTTCTTCAACTGTTAAGAAGGAAAAAAAGAGACGCATAAAGACAAAAAAAAGTCTCAAAAATTTGCTCTCCTTAGGCTAATTTTGGTACTCAATATACCTTTCTTTTCCTGTTTATAAATGTCAGCAGAATTTCCAATCACTAGATTTTATGAATTTAATATATGTAAACATACAAAAGTATTAGATTCTAGAAATCAGTAAAATGTCATTTAATTAAGTTTTAGCCACAATGCTTTATCTAGGTCATAAATGATTTAATAATTTATATTAGATAATTGGATGTATGTTGTGCAAAAGTCCTATTTTATAAGATGTGCTATGAAAGGAAGTTGTACTGTTTATATTTGCTCATTTACATTTTGAGCCATTCTCTCTCCATATCCCCTCCTCTCTCCTTCCCTTGCCTCTCAGTTTGTTCCTCCCTTTTTCCACTTTCCTTTTCCACCTCCAACTCTTCGGAAAGTAATTTTCAGACATGTCCTTTAAAGATTTCAGTATATATATATTTTCTAAGGTATAGGGCACTCTTCTGCATAACCAAAAAACTGTTATCATTTCCAAAGGAATCTAACAGTGATATGATTTTCAAATATATGAGCTACTGTCCACTTCTCACTTTCTCCCCACAATGCCATTTATTGCTGTTTTCACTTAAATACATGATCAAATAATGGAACATTTTCTTGTTCCCTTTAGTCTTTAACATGGAACAATTCCCCTGACTTTGTCTTTCATGATATTGACCTCTTTGAAAAATGCAGGCCATTTGCCTTTAAAATGTCCAACAGTCTGGAATTATCTACTGTTTCCTGAGTGGCTTCAGGCTAAGTATTTTTAGCAAGAAAACCATGTAGGTGAGGTTGTGTATTCCCCATTGATCACATCATGAAGTACATCATTTTGATTTGTTCTGTTATTGGTTTGGTCACTTTGGTTAAGAGATATATTAAGAGGCATACTTTATTCTCTCATGAATAAATAATTTGTGAGGTGGTATTTACTGCTGATGTAAATATCCTATTTCACAACATTTCACTCATTTGAATTGACATCCAGTGATGATCCTTTTCTCAATCAATATTACATTGGTAATTGTAAAATGGTGATTTTCTAACATTTTTTCTTTTAAAGTTTCATTTGCTGGCTAGCACTGTTTCTGTTAGAAAGAGATTTCCCTTTTTCCCTTTCGCTTTTGAAATATGACTGATATATCTGAGCAGCTTTTCAGCATTTTCTTGTATAAGTTATCCTAGAATCACCATGTTCTTTTTCTGTACCAGATTTGGAATCAGCCATTGTCCCAAAGAGCCATGGCTCCTGTTAATGTGGAATGGTATTTAGAAATGGAAATTTATTCAATAACTGTATTCATTGTTATTGCAGTGTTATTGTTTATAAGCTTTTTTCAGTAGACAAATCTAGAAAATGTGTTCATGTTGCTATGTTTAAATCATAAGTTCATACTTATCTATTTTGAATTTAATATCACATTTCTTATTTTATGTATTTTATATATCCTCATTTCTTCCCATTATGCATTTATTTCTCCATTTACCAACTATGGCACACCTGGCTCAAAAAATTATCAACATTTACCTACATAATACACACAAAGTTTGTAGCTTGATGTACACACATAATAGCTTCAGAATTACTATACCAATATCATCAATAATAATAAACCAAGTAAGGAAAATTTAATGTTTGTTGTAGTCCTACTTGTAAGACATGCAGAGAGAAAGAGAGAGAGAGAGAGAGAGAGAGAGAGAAGGAGAGAGAGAGAGAGAATCTTCCATACATTGGTTCACCCTCCAAATACCTGCAACAGCCAGGGCTGGGCCAAGCTGAATCCAGGAGCCAGAATCTCAATCTGGGTTTCCCATTTGGGTGGCAATGTCCCAAATACTTGAACTGCTCACTGGGTACACATTAGCAAGAAGCTGGATCTGAAGCTGGATTTGATCCCAACCATTCTAATATTGGATGTGGATTACCCAAGTGGTGGTTTGACCTGTTGTGCTTCAACACTTGCACCTGTTGAATCTCTTTTTGACTTTAAAATATATATCCAACTGAGGATACATAATTAGAGTACAGTAATCAAAACTTCCTCTCATTATTATTTTTGTATGTTTATGTTATTACTTCAATAAACAACTAGATTCATTTATGCTAGTGTGTATTCTTAGGACTTTATTTTTAAACTATTTTTATTTTATTATACTTTCAAAAGTAGAAACTGTGTGTGTATTACAAAAAATCAAAATTATAGGGCCAGCACTGTGGCTTAGCAGGTAAAGCCGCTGCCTGCAGTGCCAGCATCCCATATGGGCTTGGGTTTGAGTCCTGGCTGCTCCACTTCCAATCCAGCTCTCTGCTATGGCCTGGGAAAGCAGTAGAAGATGGCCCAAGTCCTTGGGCCCCTAAACCCACGTGAGAGACCCGGAGGAAGCTCCTGGCTCCTGGCTTTGGATCGGCACAGCTCCAGCCATTGTGCATTGTGGCCAGTTGGGGAGTGAACCAGGGGATGAAAGATATCTCTCTCTCTCTCTCTCTCTCTCTCTCTCCCCCCCCATCCCCGTCTCTACCCTTTGTAGCTATTCCTTTCAAATAAAATAATAAATAAATCTCAAAACCATCATAATTATATAAAAGAGACTTATCCAGAGAGTGTCAATTTGACCCCTATAACCTGCATTTTATTTTTGACAGGCAGAGTTAGACAGTGAGAGAGAAAGACAGAGAGAAAGGTCTTCCTTCCATTGGTTCATCCCCCAAATGGCCGCTACGGCTAGCGCACTGCACTGATCCGAAGCCAGGAGCCAGGTGCTTCCTTTTGGTCTCCCATGTGGGTGCAGGGCCCAAGCACTTTGGGCCATCCTCCACTGCACTCCCGGGCCACAGCAGAGAGCTGGCCTGGAAGAGGAGCAACTGGGACAGAATCCGGCACCCCAACCGGGACTGGAACCCAGAGTGCGGGCGCCGCAGGCGGAGGATTAGCCTAGTGAGCCATGGAGCCAGCCCAACCTGCATTTCATTATCACACATCATCCACTGGAGGTATTCATTATCATTCAATTTCTGGTTTTGGTTTCCTCAGTTGCCATTTTATAAATATAAGGAAAGACATAAGACAAATCCTTATTTTGTTTTATTTTATTATTATTATTCTTTAAAGATCTATTTGTTTATTTGAAAGGCAGAATTACAGAGAGGCAGAGGCAGAGGCAAAGGCAGAGAGAGAGATCTTTCATCCACTGGTTCACTCCCCAAATGGTGGCAAAGGCCAGAGCTGAGCTGAGCTGAAGCCAGGAGCCAGGAGCCTCTTCTGGGTCTCCCACGTGGGTCCCAGGGCCCAAGGACTTGGGGCATCTTCCACTGCGTTCCCAGGCCATAACAAGAGCTGGACTGGAAGCGGAGCAGCTGGGACGCCAACCGGCAATCATATGGGATGCCAGCAATTCCGTCGGCGGCTTTACCTGCTACACTACAGCACCGGCCCCAGAAATTCTTATTTTATAGAACTCTTCATTTTGAAGAAATATTGTTTTAAAATAGATTGTGATAACATAGATTTAAAATTGCAAGAATTTTAAACTTGTATCAAATGCCTAATAACTGTTTTCTGTTAAAACATGAGGTTTCTTCACAGGAAGATCCAGGTCACGTGTAACTACATCTTCTTTGTATACCATTTAGTTAAAATATGAACAATTTATGCAAATAATCTCTAAAATAATTTGAACAATTTAAAGTGTCATCATTATTTTTACTCAGATTCCCTTCCCGATCTTAATATGTATCTACTACCTTTCAGAATTTGTTATCTTCTTTTGCTTGGTACAGTTGCTTAATGACTACGGTGGTGGTGTGAGAGCTGAGGGGGAGCCTCTGAGAAGACCCATGGAAGGAACAACTAGAAGACCTCCCGAGGGACCTGTCTGGAAATCAGCAGACCCGCCTGCTTGGGGTCCTGTGAGGCCAATAAGGGGCCGTGCTGTGAGTCCTGAAAGAAGACATGCTGACAGACCCGCCAGAGGCCGAACCTTGAGTCCCATGAGGGGATTTTCTCCAAATCCCACCAGATTACACGCTGAGAGACACGCCAGGGGACGTGGCATGAGTCCCACCAGGGCGATTGCTGTGAGCCCTCCAAGAGGCTATATTGTGAGCCGTGCGGCGAGTCCTGCAAGAGGCCAGGCTGAGAAACATTCAAGAGGACGTAAAAGAGTACGTGCCATGACAAAGAGTCGCCCAAGAGGCCATACCCAGGCCGTGAGTCCTGCAAGCAGATCTGCTCCAAATCCTGCAAGAGGCCATGCTAGGGGCCGTACAGCGAGTCCCATCAGGGCGCGTGCTGTGAGTCCCGCGACAGGACATGCCGAAAGACATGCAAGGCGCCGGACTGTCAGTCCTTTAAGGAGACACGCAGGCTATGCTGTGGGACTAGCAAGGAGACCTCCCATGCAAGAAGTCATTCTGGGAGCCGCAGTGGGACTCACTGTGAAATCAGCAGAAGGATATGATGAGGAAGCGTCTAGATCTGCAAAGCAATCGAAGAAGTAAGTTTGTTTTTATTTAACGTACCCTTTCATTTAACAAGTCCAATGTGCATTATATATTTAAAATAAGATCACATGTTTTATATACATTTGTCACCAAGAGTGAATCTACAAACACCATGCAGCAATTCAAGAATTTAAAGAAAGGATCTTACATATTGTCATTTTTATAGAATCTCCTCTGAGTAAAAAAGAACACTTTAAAGAAAAAGCACAATTTTGTGCTTTCGGCTTAGTCGTTTGCGCCACACTTTGCATCACTCCATTTTAAATTGGGATAGATGGCCTTGTCTGATGCTATAAACTTTATTGCCATTTTCAATATTCAAGAAGCAACAATGTCCATAGATAAAATGGTAAAATTATAGGAGACTGTACCTACAATCTATATGACAATATTGAATTACCCGCTAGGTTATTTTTCACTTGAACAATATAATAAAGTTTTAGATTCACCAAAAAGTCAGATATCTTCAAGGTTTTCACTCATATAATGATATTCCATATATAGTGTTTTACTAAATCATACATTATAAAGCAGTATTCGCTTTACTACTTAGGAATTGATGCACCATTCATAGTTTTATTATAACAAAAAGAAATACTTGATCCGAAGTGCCTACGTAAAAATATCACTACGTCCTTACCATATGCTAAGGCAGGTTTCTAAAATATAATCCAGCACTAAGAACTTTTTGGAAACATTTACTTTTCAGGAGTTTTAGGTACTGGCATTTTAAGCCTCTTAGAGTATAGACAACAATCATTAAGTTCGAGTAGAATTTAAGATGAATCCCACTCTGAAAAGCTTTTTCTTTCTCCTGAAGTGCTAAAAAATATACCAGAATCCAAATCACTTATTCCCTTCATTTATACAAAAATGAGGTCATCTCTCCTGTTTATGCAAGCTCAAATATCAGGACAATGTTCTTTGGTCCTTTCGAGGAATGTTTGCAGACTCTAATCACAGAGTTGATTTCTTTTTGTGACCTTAGCTACAATTAGAACATGCTGTGTGACCAGTGAATGCCAATGATTTGCTAATCACTACTTAGCTGAAACAACTATGATTTCTGCAGTCATATTTAATGGAGAGGCAGACTTGCTTTAAAAAAAAATTTTATATATTTATTTGAAGGTCAGAGTTACACAGAGAGAGAAAAAGAGGCAGAGAGAGAGGTCTTCCATCCGCTGGTTCACTCCCCAGTTGGCTGCAACAGCCAGAGCTGCGCCAATCGGAAGCCAGGAGCCAGGAGCTTCTTCCAGGTCATCCATGCGGGTGCAGGGGCCCAAGGACTTGGGCCATCTTCTACTGCTTTCCCAGGCCATAGCAGAGAGCTGGATAGGAAGTGGAGCAGTCGGGACTCGAACCAGTGCCCATATGGGATGCTGGCACTGCAGGCTGCAGCTTTACCCACTACGCTACAGTGCCATACAGTGCCAGCCCCAGCAAACTTGCTTTTTAATATTCTCTCTCTCTCTCTCTCATAAAACATTATTTAAAGAGGTAACAAATATTTCATATACTGTCAACTGAAAGAAGGATTTCTAAAATATCCAATAGGTTAAGTTTCAGAATGCATCCTCTACTGAGTAAACTATTACCAGTTCCTATTTTGTCCCTACTACACTTTTGAATAGTGTAGATGTAACTCTTCTACATTGGAGAGCAAGTTTGCCCTATTCAAAACAGCTCTTGAACCTTAGCTTTATTACCATACATAATCTTCTCACTTACTATTTATGTTTCTTGTTGTCTATGGATTTATTTACAAGAAAACCATTCCCTTAACATGTAGTTCTAAATAAAATACAATTTTATTGCTCCTTTGGACTTCTCTTTTCCTAGTTTTCATCAATTTCATCAACAAATAGGAGCAAAATGACAGCAATTCATCACTCGGTATAATGCTGTGGGTCAGCTGAAATCAATAACTGTTCCACAGGCCTGAGAACATGACTTAATTTTATTAATTTTTTCTGAGCTTTTGCCTCCTAATAGATATTTCCAGCTGTTGCTATGCTTTATTTGAAATTCTTTGGTAATTAAACATAATGGCTAAGTTTATCCTACTTTCCTTCAAATGTCAGCATACAAACTTTGTTCAGAAAAAGTCTGTTTTTTGAAATAATCTACATTCTAAAAAATATTCAAGCTATTAGGACTAGCATTGTGGCTCAGTGTGTTATGTAACAATCTGAGATCTGGCACCCCATCTGGGCACTGGTTCGAGTCCCAGGTATTCCACTTTGGATCCAGCTCCCTGCTAATGTGCCTTGGAAGGCAACAGAAGATGTCCCAAGTACTTGGGCCCCAGCCACCCACATAGAAGACCTGGAAGGAGTTCCAGGCTCCTTGCTTTTGGTCTTGCACAGACCCAGACATTGCAACCACTTGGGGAGTGAACCAGCAGATGAAAGATCTCTCTCTCTCTGTCTCTCTGTCTCTCCCTCTCTCTCTGTAACCCTTCCTTTCAAATAAATTAAGAAATAAAATTATTTTAAAATCACAGGTATAGATTGGAAAATATTCATTAAGTCACATTTTAAACTATTTTCAATATTTCATTTTAAATTATGCTTTATCTTTTTAATTAACATAATAATTTTACACACATATGGGATACAGTGTGATGTTTAGACACACATAAACATTGCATACTGATCAATTCAGAGTAATTAGTTTCCATCTCTCTATCATTTTTATATACTTGGAGGCTTCCAGCTCTTCTCTTGTATTTTTAATTCATAAAATATATACTAGGTTATTGTGAACTGTAGTGACCCTTTAGTATGTCTTGAGTTCAGGCATAGTGATGACTCTAGCTTCTCAAGATTGCTTTGGCTATTCAGGTTCTTCTGTGTTTTAAAATGAATCTTAGGATTGCTTTTTCAGTTCTGTGTAGAATGCCACTGGTATTTTTATGAGGATTGCATTGAATCTGTTAATCATTTGGCATATATGGTGTTTTAAATTATTAATTCTAGAGGCAGTGGTGCAGTTTGCACCCACACAGAAACACGAAGTGTAAAATACTGTTTCAGTACTAGTTATAGCATTACTTCACATTGGACAACACACTAAGAACAGATCCCACATGAGGAGTAAGTACACAGTGACTCCTGTTGTTGATTTAAAAATTTGACACTCTTGTTTATGGCGTCAGTAATCTCCCTAGGCTCTAGTCATGAGTTTCCAAGGCTATTGAAGCCTTTTGAGTTAGCCAACTTCAATCTTATTCAGACAGGGTCATAGCCAAGGTGGAAGTTCTCTCCTCCCTTCAGAGAAAGGTACCTCCTTCCTTGATGGCCCCGTTCTTTCCACTGGGATCTCACTTGCAGAGATCTTTCATTCAGGTTTTGTTGTTGTTGTTTGTTTGTGTTTTTTTTTTTTTTTTTGCCAGAATGTCTTGGCTTTCCATGCCTAAAATACTCTCATGGGCTCTTCAGCCAGATCTGAATGCCATAAGGGCTGATTCTGAGGCCACAGTGCTGTTTAGGACATCTGCCATTCTATGTTCTATGAGTCTGCTGTGTATCCCGCTTCCCATGTTGGATCGTTCTCTCCCTTTTTTATTCTATCAGTTAGTATTAGCAGACACTAGTCTTGTTTGTGTGACCCCTTTGACTCTTAGACCTATCATTATGATCAATTGTGAACAGAAATTGATCACTTGGACTAGTGAGATGGCATTGGTACATGCAACCTTGATGGAATTGTATTGGAATCCCCTGGCACATTTCTAACTCCACCATTTGGAGCAAGTTAGTTTGAGCATGACACAAATTGTACATCTCCTCCCTCTCTTATTCCCACTCTTATATTTAACAGGGATCACTTTTCAGTTAAATTTAAACACCTAAGAATAATTGTGTGTTAGGTACAGAGTTCAACCAATAGTACTAGAACAAAAAAAAATACTAAAAGGGATAAAGTATTAAATTGTACATCAACAGTCAGGACAAGGGCTGATCAAGTCACTGTTTCTCATAGTGTCCATTTCACTTCATCAGGTTTCCCCTTTGGTGCTCAGTTAGTTGTCGCAGATCAAGGAGAACATATGATATTTGTCCCTTTGGGACCTGCTTAGTTCACTCAGCATGATGTTTTCCAGATTCCTCCATCTTGTTGCAAATGACCGGGTTTCATTGTTTTTGACTGCTGTATAGTATTCTATAGAGTACATGTCCCATAATTTCTTTATCCAGTCTACTGTTGATGGGCATTTGATGCCTGTATCCCATGTTGAATGCCCAGCTGTACTTCTAATTCCAGCTTCCTGCTGATGTGAACTGTGGAAGGCAGCAGCTGATGGCTTAGGTACTTAGGAGACCCAGATTGTCTCTTGTGGCAGATTTTAACTAGTAGTCTATGTATTATTCAGTTTGCCATTAATGAAATCTCTGAGGCAGGCTACTTTATAAAGAAAAGAGGTGTATTTAGCTTACAGTTTTAAAAGTCCAGGTAATATTGCACAGGCTCTAAAGATAGCCTCCCTCTTGGCTACATTGTATCATGGCAGGAATGCATGTGTGTATCCACGCTTGTATGGGTCTGTCTCCCTCTTAATATTATGATGCCAGGGTTCAGTCAAGGGGGCATTGTCCCAATGACTAAACCTAATTTAGTCACTTCCCAAAGGCCCAACATCTAAACATCATAGTCAGATTACATTTCCACCCTTTTAGTATCATTAAGTTGAGACTTTGGGGATCAAACTCCTGCATGAGCTCACGGGGATACACCTATATATATATATATATATATATATATA